TGAAATAAAATGTTTTAAATATATTTTATATATATATATATATATATATATATATATATATATATAAAATATACATATATATATACATAAAGTTAATATAAATAAAAATATTACAGAAATATTGCCTTGGCTGAAATAAAATATTATTTCATTCATTCATATATATATACAGTGGGTACGGAAAGTATTCAGACCCCCTTAAAATTTTCACTCTTTGTTATATTGCAGCCATTTGTTAAAATCATTTAAGTTAATTTTTTTTCCTCATTAATGTACACACAGCACACCATATTGACAGAAAAACACAGAATTGTTGACATTTTTGCAGATTTATTAAAAAAGAAAAACTGAAATATCACATGGTCCTAAGTATTCAGACCCTTTGCTCAGTATTTAGTAGAAGCACCCTTTTGATCTAATACAGCCATGAGTCTTTTTGGGAAAGAGGCAACAAGTTTTTCACACCTGGATTTGGGGATCCTCTGCCATCCCTCCTTGCAGATCCTCTCCAGTTCGGTCATGAAAAATTTAAGGGGGTCTGAATACTTTCCGTACCCACTGTATATATATGAAATATTTTATTTCAGCCAAGGCAGTATTTCTGTAATAATATTTTTATTTATATTAACTTTATGTACTAAGCTATATAGACATAAAAAATAACTACTAAATGTAAAAAAACACAACAAAATGACAAAAACTAGCTAAAAGTCAAAAACTGAAAGTAAAAACTAAAATTTGTTTTTTTTATATACGATTATACTAAAATAACACTGGAATATAGTGCATGAGTCGTGGACTTTTATGATAATTTTGTGTCCTTTTTAAAGCTTGACATTATTCTTTGTTAACAGATATTAATCAAAATATCTTTTTTGTGTGTGTGTGTGTGTGTGTGTGTGTGTGTGTTCCACCGAAGAAAGAAAGTAATACATGTTTGGAACGACATGAGGATGAGTAAATGATGATTCTCACAATGTCTCGTTCCCGCTCTCAGTGAAACGAGGTTACGATAGTAACCGGAGACGTTTTGTGTGAAATATTAGAAATATTCAACAGTGTAAAAAATGATATATAGCCTGCTGTATATACTTAGTAACTTGCTTTGCCGTCTTTATAGGGTGCTGACTAAATTTACTGACTTAGATATTAAATCCATGTTGTTGCTTTATTAATCCCACGTCTAGACACAGAATATGTTGAATTGTTTTTGAAAAAGTCCTGCTTTGTTATATGTAACTTATCATATTGTCAACAAAATGAACTGATGCTAGTCCAAATCCTTGATCATTTAAATTATTCTTAAGGAAAAATGATATATACTGTATATACTTACAACTTGCTTTGCCTGAGGGTAACATGTGTTTTGTCTCTATGAGATCTTTCGCTTTCAGCTCCGAAATGATGGAAGACAGTGAAGTCAGTTTTCTTTTTAACCTTCTAATCGTAGCATTCTTCAGTTTCATCTTTTTTCTGCAAGCCTTGATCTTTCTCAGGACTGAGTTCAAATTGTACTTCAACATCTCTGGTGATTCGGTCTCCTGCATGTCTGTCGTTGAGCTGCTGTCCTCCATGGAACTACAAGCTGTGTTTGAAGACCAAGAACAGTAGCAATGATCGTGTCTAACTGCAATGACGCAGATTTCAGTGGGGTAAATCACTGGGGTCCCACTAGTTTCAGTCATGTCTGGATCTTCCTCTTTCACAAACTCATCCAAAACAACTTCCTCCTCCACATACTTTCTCCTGTCATCCCTTTTGAGACAGTATGTATGAAATTCATGACTTTCCACGTTCCTCTGCCTTACTTGGGTGCGCCGTGGCTGCTTCTGAAAGGGGCCAGAGATGAAAAATATGGTAGGGACAGCCGTTTTAGCAAGGCACACTTGACCTTTATTGTTTGTGAAGAAGCAGCTGTCTTTAAAGTGGTGGGAACATATGCGAGAAGATGGAGACGGCTTGAAATGGTCCCGTCTGATGTTCACCAGCCACTGCTGAAGCCGGTCTTTATCACCTAATGGGAAACTGAGGGAAATGAACGGAGAGATGGATTTCAGAAAGAGGGGAGGACAGTCAGTTAGATTTTTACAACACAACAAGCTCATTTATTGTCTTTGTTCAGTAGAGGCAGGTCATGATCAAATTTAAAAAGCCATAAAACATATCGAATTCATTTAGGTTGAATTACTATTTTAACATCCAAACAGTTTTTATAAGGTTTTAAGAGTTAAAAAAAAAACCCTATTGAATTAGGTTTCTCTTAAATAACTATTCTGCACACTATTCAAACTAAACTATTCAAAAAATATATCAACACACACACAAAACGTTAAAAAGACAAAGAAGTCTTCATATTAGCGCATGAACTGCACGTTAAATAAATAAATACAGGTTTAATAATGTGGCTGGACGATTAATTAAGACTAAATAAATCCAATAACCAACCGACCGATGAAAACTTGTACTAGATCCTGGTGAATGACGATTTGTACAATTCACAGCCGCGCACGACATGTTAAATGTTAAAACACTGACACATCCTCACAACAACAACAACAACTTCTGTCTTTGGTTTAGCGGCGGTGCGCAAACGTGAACAGCGCATTACTGCCACCTACCGTTAGTTTGACACGAGACACAGTCGTCTGTTAATTTCTCACGAATTTACCGCTATATAAAATGAGTGAGAACGGATAATAATTTGATTATAATTAGTAATAATAATTTTCTGTAATAAATGTAATCTTCAGACAATGGATCCTTATAAGGGGTCCAATTAACAGATAGGCCATTAGAAATTGTGTTTGTTTTTGATGCTTTTTTTTATGCTTTTTTGTTGTTTTTGACATTTCTTGACAGGTATTGTGAGATTCATCCGTATCAAATTATTGAATAATGGTGAGCTTTCTGAACCAGCAAAAATCAGACCGCCACATTTAGTCATTTAGCAGACGCTTTTATCCTAAGCGACTTACAAATGAGGACAATAAAAACAGTCAAAACTAACAAAAGAGCATCAATATATAAGTGCAAATGACAAGTCTCGGTTAGCCTAACGCAGTACACGTAGCAAGGTGTGTGTGTATATATATATATATATATATATATATATATACACAC